GCAATTCTATAAAGGCAAATTATAGTTGTAAATTCTCATGAGAAAACCAGAGAAATCCCCCAAAAAAACAACATAATGTTGAACCTCAAGCTTCTAGAGAAAGAGCAAGTGAAGACCAAAACTTGTATGAGGGAAGAAATTACACAAATCAGATCAGAAATTAATGAAATATAGTCTAAGAAAACAATACAAAAATTAATTAATCAAATAATCAGTTATTTGAAAGTTTAAATAAATGTGGCAAACATTTAGGCAAACTTAGTTAAAAAAAGAAAGACTCAAATCCATGCAAATAAGAAGGAAAATGGTAAAATCATTACAGATTCTACAGAAATCCAGAAGATCACCAATAACTACTTGAAAAACCTGTATTCTAATAAGACAAAAAACATAGAAGGAATAGACAGATTATTAGATATATATTACTTACTGCAACTGAATTAAGAAGGTATAAAAATTCTAAATAACCTGATATAAGTCAATGATTTTGAAAATGTAATTAAAAATTACCAGCAGAAAAAGCCCAGATCTTGATAGATGCTCTGATAAATTGTAGAAAATTTTAGACAAGATCTAACACTGCTACTCCTCAAACTCCTTAATGAAATTTAAAAGGAATCAGTACTCCTAAACTCATCCCTGGGAGCAAGCATTACCTTGATACCTAAACAAGAGAGGCATCCAACAATAAAAAAGATGTTCTTTTATAAAGAGCATCTCAAAAGGTCAAGCCCCCTAATGAACATAGATTAAAAAATGGTCAATAAGATAGTGGCAAGATGAATGCAGGAAATCATCAAGAAGATTATACACCATGACTAAATAAGTTTCATCCCAGGGATGCATGGATAGTTCAACATACACAAATCAATAAATGTAATATGCTCTATCAACAGAGTCACGGACAAAATCCACATGAGCATCTCACTAGATGCAAAAAAGCATTTTACAAAGTCCAACATCCATTCGTGATTTAAAAAAATCCTGCAGAAAACTGAAATAGGTGGTCTTTACTTCAATCTGATAAAAGCTATGCATTACAAGCCCATAGTCAACATCATACTAAACACTCAAGACTGAAATCTTTTAGTCTAAAATCAGGAACAAGAATAGCATATCCATTGTCACCACTCATAGTCAATATATTTCTATATACATTAGCCAGAGCAATTACACAAGAGAAAGAATTTAAAAGGATAAAACAGGAAAGTAAGATGTTAAATTATCATTATTTATAGATGACATGATTCTCTACATAGAAGACCCTATAAACTCCACCAAAAGACTTTTAGATTTAATAACCATATTTAGTAGCATATCTGGATACAAAGTAAACTTTCAAAAATCAATAGCATAAAAAATCAATAGCATTTCTATATAAAAATGACAAACTCACTGAGAGAAAAACCTTGCAGAGTAGCATCAAAATAAAATTAAATAATTAAAAATCAACCTAATGATCATAGTAAAACCCTCTATATTGAAAACTACAGTACTCTAAAAATGGAGATTGAAGAGGATAACAGAAAATGGAAAAATATCTCATTTTTAATAAGAAGAACTAATATAGTGAAAATGGCCATACTTAAAAAAACTGATAACACTGATAAATATATATGCACCAAATACTAGAGCATCTATCTACATAGAAGGAAAACTGCCAAATTAAAAGATCAAAAGACACTAACACAATCATAGTCTGGAATTTTAATACTTCACTTTCACAAAAAGATAGATCAACTAAACAAAAAATATGAAGACATTTCACAACTGAACCACACCCTTGAAGATATGGACTTAATGAATATATAGATTACTCCAGGTCTCTGTGTCAGAGTACAAATTCTTTTCAGAAGCACATGGTAGTTTTTCCAATATATATCACATACTAGTCCACAAAGTATCCCATGCATACTATCAGACCACTGTGCAATGAAAATACAAATCATTGACGGAAGAAATCTTAGAAATGGCAGAAGTTCCTGGAAATTTACCAGCACAGTGCTAAACAACTAATGGGTCACAGAAGAAATACGAAATTTTAAAATTTGTTAAAGTTAATGACAATGACAGTAAAACTCATTGAAACTTCTGAGACACTATGCAAGACACTATGCAAA